TTGTGGAAAGCTTATAGCATTACTCTAGAGGTATAGATTTTTATGGAATTATGGCCGCAGTTCTTAATCATTTTTACGTTGCTCACTCTGGTTTTGCCATGTTATATAAAATATGCAGACACGCCCAGCATTTGCTGAATACCATGATTTGCTTGAAGAGTTGGAAGGAAAGCTTTCAAGCTTTCTTATATCTGGAGCTACTCGAGAATCTTGAAGGATGTTTGAAATCCAAGGTTTAGCTACTCCTCTCATTAATATATTCGTGATTCTGGAAGTTTTGGCTCTCCATCTGGGGCAGAGGGGAGATTTTAGAGTTCTATTCGCATCATGAGCCGCATATGGCATGAGCATCGTGATTATAGTCTTACACAAATTATTGCAAGCATTCTGTGTATATAAACACCACACCATGTTTGCTGCCTATTTTAATTTTTTCACTTATAGAATGTGTTATTTTCTTTGCTAAATTGAGAGGAAGAGAGATGAACGGCTCTTGTAGGATTTAGTTATAAAGAATTTGTTTGAACAATGCATAGATGGTTAAATTTTGCTGTTGAAATACACTCGTTGAAAGTAATGTTTTTATAAATTTGTTTAGATTGTAATCATACCATGAATTATATGCTGTAAATATATGATTCTATTTGTAATAGATATGGCTGTCGATTGTGAATTTAGCATCATTTGTGATATCCCATCGCCCTTCTTCCTTTGCGGAACTCCAGTAGTCCCTTCCCACATTCCCTCACGTAGTCTCTCTGAAAATCTTGAAAGATTAAAAAAAATTGTTGGGTGAAAAATTAATTCTTTTTTATGCAAAGAGCGAGGGAGTTGGAGGTGGGGAAGGGGAAGGGGAGAATTTCTCCGGGCCTAATTATTCTGAAGAAAGATGGGTAATGATCTCGTGCAAGAATGATTTGAAAGGTCCAAAACCATAAATACAGTATTTACTAGCAACAACATAATGGAGATAGAAAGAGTCAACGTATATACATAAAATCCAATTCAATCTAGCATGTTAACTAATCAACTGCATTAAACTTGATCGAATTTTTGTTCTTTTCTACGTACCTAAACTTGACATGAGCGTTTCAAGAAAAAAAGGAATATATACCAATGGTAGTGTTGTTGATTTTATATCACGTAAATGTACAGATCGTAATAAGTAATAAAGTAGATTTAAGAGTCAAAATATCGTTCCCACGATGATTACTATTTAACAATTGGTTCAATTATTCCTAACTTTGGTTTGATCGAAAATAAATAATAAGTTTTGTGGTTGGTTTCTAAATTATTCTAACTAAAGCAAATTATCTAACGTACATGATTTATCGAATTTGGGTTTTAAAAGTATAAATATGGATGTTATGACTTACAATTTTACCTATGAATCCCCTCTAATTTACCAGTCAAGATTCATTATAATGGTAGTGTTCAATCCAATTCTTCTAAAGTACTCAAATTATCTCTCTCGAGTTCTCATTAAGTTTATTTAACTAATTCAATTTTATATCTCTGTGCTA